ACGATGGTTGCACTTTAATTGCTTCAGAAGTAATGAGACGCGCCCGCGCCAAGTCTCCTCCTAGTGCAGGACTCCACATTGGGCAACAGTTCAGCAAAAAGACCAAAATCCAGGGCGCCGGCCGGAGTCGAGCTTTCATAAGTTCCTAATGATTATCTGCCCAGGGTCATATCTGGCACTCCAATACGTAAAAGTCGTGCGCAGTGATGCCAATAATGGTTAGCGGCGACTTGCTTCATTTACAGTCGCTTTAATGCTGAAGTCGGAACTCACGACGAGACAAGTTGATTTCGTGTCGAGGACTGATAATGGACAAGGCCTATGGTTAGCGTAGAACCCTACTGTCAGTCAAGCATGGCAACTAGGCAAACTTCCGCGAGTCCTACTCAAGGTACAAAACGGCTGCCTGAGTACCCAAGACATCGATTACCGCTGCAGTATAGCCGACCAGCTGGACCGGACCTATCAGAGTGCGAACAAGTCGCCCACTGAGCGTGGGCTGCGCCCGCCTTGCATATCGCAGATAATAAACTGCGACCCTGGCTCGTGTTTCATAGTCCGCACGCCAGGCCGTTAAGCGAGAATGTCGAGAAACATTCGCCGCCTTACAATTCTGTGGTGGCGAGCCTCAACAAGGACTTAGGACCGTGCAGTCTGCATGCGAGTGTGCAACGCGGGCAGGGTAGAATTGTAGATGTCCGCCACACTGAGACAACCTTTTCTGTTAAATGTAGGGATGCGGAGTTAGCAGTGGTCCGCCCGAATAATCTGAAACGGGTTAGTTAATGCCCCGAGTCTCCTGAGGTAAAGGAACTACCGACAACGGCTAAGTGGCCGGCGTGAGGCGAGCTAACTCTCAGTAACTTACTCGCCCAGCGCTCCAGAAAAAATTGCCTTACGGGGCCACGATGTCCCTATGACTAACACTGTGAGTAGCTATACAGCCTCCACCACATGTGTTTCAGTCATGGAAGAGGAGCAGGACAACCCAGAGTTTAAGACGCGGAACGACGTGAAGAACCAGTCCAACTATTTGATCTCGATCAACAAAAAGGCAAACCAAGGGAAGTAGACGACAGTTCGCGGCCAGCTGTTGGCAAGAGTGCCGATTCAATTTGCTACCCACATGCTGTCTTGATTGTCACTTTTCCAACCTATCAATAAATTATGCATATAAGCACGCTGCCCAACTTTTGTTCGTTGACTGCAAGGGGACTACGCATTCCAGCCCAGATGTGTCAACTGGGGGAACACGACCGCGGTTCGCACTACAGAGTAGATCTTCCCGGGACCGTGAAGGCCCCCCACTTATCATACATTTCTTAAGTAACCATAGGGCATTTCCGGCGTAGGGGCGGGTGCGAGGTTCCAATGGACTCTCACGCTCGTAGTTGGGTCAGGCTGGTACGAAGCTAGGTCCGCACCAGCACGCGGGCGATGGTTCGCATAAACACCTCCGGCAGAGGCGTCTAGTAATCGTAGACGCCGGGGTGTCCGGTGACTCAACTTGAAACCATAAATTAACCTCATCTAGTCACACGATGCTGACTAGCCAATAAGAGGTGACAGTAGGTCTACGCGGAAAAACCTGCAAGCATATTTAATCTAAGTGCCCCAAGATATCAAACGGGGTCCCCAGACCCTTGACACCCACCAGATGTACCCATTATCCTTTTTCACCTGCTATGTGGCGACAGGACACAACAGATGGGTTGCCGAGACCTTTTGATGTTCTTAGCTGCCTTATTTTGAAAGACTTGAGCATTTCCTAAATCTAGCCAAGTTCGGAACTTCGAAAATAAATACTGGCAGTCAAGAGGGTGCAAAGGCAAGGTCGCTTCGGCAAGGAAGCGGCAATTTCGAGATCCCAACTGACGGTTACCACAGAGACGAAAACGGCAGCACCTAGTATTTCTTTTTGGCCGACACAAGTATCCAAACCTAACAACGGTAAACGACTGCAGGGGCTGGCTTGTGCTCTGGGACGAGAACAAATAGTCTTGACAGTGTGGATACACGGGAGCCAGATACTCTCACTCAGGATCCTTTAGCTGGCCAAGGATAAACATAAAGCAGGAAGGATTATATTTAATCTCAACTTTCAATAATCCAAGCAAGGCGCTCCAACACTTGAAGCTGTAATGGCGCTAAAGACTTCCCAAAAGTGGTAAGAACACTTAAAAACTATACAGAGTCGGTTTCAACAGTTGATTGCTTTTCCGAAGGCCGCCGCAGTATGGGCTTCACGCAGGGCCTCGCTGACGGTCTGTAAGGGAAAAACCACATGCATTGGTTAAAATTATCAAGAAAAATATGTTCTTCATATGCTTGGATCAGATGCAGAACTCCGGACAAAAAACAAAGATGTCTAGTTTAGTCAAAAGTACTCAACGAACGAGGTGTAAACACTTCCAATGAAGCAAATGCAAGGTCTTGTAGCTGGTACCAGTGTCGGAAGTATGCGGATGCATTTCGCGTACAATCGAAAGCTTTTACCATGCATTTGTGAGATTTGGTTAATTGCTGTGATACCACACAATAAATTTGCCTACCTGCAAACAAACTAAGACCGGCTTGAAAGTGGGATCATTGACTAAAGAACATTTCAGCAAACGTTCGAGGTTTGCTATGAGCTGTTCAACTGCATGCTATCCAAACTTCGCATACCAGTTGCCCGGAATTCGGTGTTTTGGCGTTATATGGCATTAACAGTTTTCTGGATGGCACTGAGGCGTGGCGAGGTGACAAAATTTTGCCAGAAATTTCAGGAGACGGTAGACCTTGCATATGGGAAAGTGTTACCTAAACTTTCTGTAGAAAGAAAAAAACGCCGGGCAAACGCCTGGTGTTCGAAGTAAATGAAGCACGACTGAAGGAGGCTGAAGACGTACAGGATGGGCGTGGCACACGCGAGCTACGTCTTCAGCAGAAGCCCCATATTCCATGGCTAGCACACCTTCATTGATAAGTTCACCCGCCTGGGGACCGAAAAGGTGAATTCCGAGGACCCTGTCCGTCTTCTTGTCAGCCAGCACCTTAAACAGGCCATCGGCCTCGTCATTACATCTGGCGCGGGAGTTGGCAGACATAGGGAATTTACCGACCCTACAAGTGAAAGAAATCATAACCTAACATAGAAGACACTGTAGAAATGGCAAGAAGCCGAGGACGGTTACAGACGACAAGCAAACGGACGAATGAGTCGCCGCAAAATTTCCAGTTGATAGTCAAAAAACGCACTTGTAATCAAAGCCCTTATTCTTGCAATCTTCTTCGGAATAGCCAACCCAAGCGACCTCAGGGTGAGTGTAGATCACGCTGGGAATACAGAGATAGTCGAGGTGTACTTCACCGCCGCACATGCCCTCCACGCAGACAATGCCCTCGTCTTCGGCCTTGTGTGCAAGCATAGGTCCCTCGATGCAGTCGCCAATCGCGTAAATGCTGAAAAAGAAAAGCTAAATTAGACACGGAAAAATTCAATGCACAGGAATAACCAGTCCAAAACCGGAACGAGCATGCAGGACCTAGGCAACAGAATCCAGACACAAACCAATTCATTTTCTGCCTCAAGAAACAAAAACTCCAAACTAATGAGTCCGGCGTAGGTCTAGTACGCCCTGACAGCGATTTTTCTAGCTCCGGTGATTCGCTCTATAGAAATACGGTCCGTTGCCTACAAAGCGCACTTTTGGAATTTGCTGACATCACTTGGTAACGATTTAGTTCAACTTCGTTAGCCATTTTGTGCAATTGGTTCGTACCGAAAACAGCTAGAAATATTAAATGACGTTTCCTCCCAATTCATTTACTAAAATGTTGTTTGTAACAAAGGAAAACAAACTAGAATACGTTATTTACGAAAGATAATTGAATGCTGCGAGATAATTCGAATAATCCGATGTGGTAGGTGATGGCCCTGACAAAACACGTCCCCACATTTTCGAAGTGTGTCACTGTCTCTGATGATAAGCTCGAGTGATAACCCCCAAAGTTGAGTTGATTTCTTGTTCCAGAGACTGCATCTTCCTCTGGACTGCTTCCTGGAATCTGGCTATTGACTTCATTGGACAAAGTCCTGTATTGTGTCGTTTAAGTAATATCCGCTTAAGGTAGATATTATGTCATGCAGGCTGCGCATGTTACGATGAGAATCTTTTTTATCAGTAAAAAAGGCATTATAGATAGCATGCATCTCGTGGGTGCCTACTTGGGTACGGAAGTCCGGAAACGCTTGTCGACTGGGACCCTGCCGTGTGCATCGGTTTTGATGCCAACGTTCTCCAGGCCGAGATTGGTCGTATAGGGTCGGCGACCGATACAAACCAAAAGGGTGTCGCAGGTTAACTGCAAAACAGTGGCAGATGGGATATTCACATAGTTCGTAATGTTGAAAAGTCAAATTGGCGAGCACGTGTTTTCAGTAACTCTCCATCAGGCCAAAACGGTTACAAAGAAGTTTAAGTTCGTAATATATTGCAGATAAAAATGACTGTGGTGAACTTCAGCAAAATATCTAGCGGAAGGAACCAGAGATTTTATGATAGCTGCGGACTAAGCTGCATCTATTTTCGCAATTTGCAAATTTAGACTAGGTACATCCTATATGGACAAATCATTAGTGAGCTAGGGAAACGTCTTATAACCAAAAAGCAGAACAGCTCTCTAAAAACAAGCAATAAAGGCAACATTTTAACTATGATTTCGATTATAAGGAGACGGCAATCGGTGCCGTTCACCCTTGTTTTTTTTAAACGGAAGGAAGCTGCTAGAACATGCTGCGACATAGCATTCTGGAAGAAAGTCCCGATGTACTTGGAATGCGGATTACGGGCAAAGGCGAATAGCAAGTTGCTAGTGGGGTACGCATCGAACACTTGCGCTGCCAGCCGACCAAGTTTGAGCGTCAAACGTTTGTCTGCTGAGATCAAAACAAATAATAAGAGTAGAGGTGGTCGGAAATACCTCGTTCTTCTTCCCATCCTTCACACCTTCGGTAGATACAATGATATCCTTGCCATTCCGGCTTGCAGATAAGACTTTCGTGTTGAGCTTGAAGGTGAGTCCTTGTTTTGTGAGGACCTTTGAAAACAATTTGCTGATTTCCATATCGATTCCCATTCCACCGACATGTCCGAGGTACTCGACAACGGTTACCTAAAGTTAAGAAGCCCAGATAACACCAAAAGAACAGGTCAATTAAATACAGTGTGTGATCTAACTCATGAAACGTGATGACGAAAATTGTGACGACGGATTCCGGGCACACTATTCATCCGTCTAGTCCGTTCCGAAAAATGTCCCTTTTGCATGCAGAATATGTTAATAAATAACGTTTTCAGTGAAAATGTCTACAAATTTAAGCGGACAGTTTCCTACGCTAATAGCTGTCCTGGGGTAAGTTTGCGCATCCGTGCGCGCTTTTCAATGTGAGGAAAGCAATCTAAACTACCAAGCGAAATTTGCCACACTTGAAAATTGCGTTTTTTCTTCACGTAAATCAGATTGATCAGGGTGTAGGCAATGTTGTTTTTAGAAACCATGCGTTGCATCAACCCCAAAAAACAGATTCGCGGCTGCGGTTTCATGATAGAAAAGGCAATAATAAAACCTTTGTTCATACGTTTCGACATTTTTCTGCTGTTTGAAAATACTCAATAACTTGCCACAAAATGGCTCTTTAATAAATGGTTGTTAGCTTTTAGGCATATGGTAGGATATTCCTCGTGTGGGCTAGCTTCCCGTAGTGCGTAATTTAGAAGCGGTGCAGACATAAGATTAGCAGACTTTGTAACACCTTAGTATGGTCACTCTGTTGTGCGTTTACAATTGTAGGACAGGGCCTAAAAGTAGCCTTGACAGCATCGCACTCGCCTGGTTCTACCTCCTACGGTTTTGACTGACTTGTGTTGACTTGCGAGTGATTAGCAATACCTTGTTGATCTCGGCACATTTGATGAGGTAAGTCACAGGAAGTAGGAAAATATCATTGGGGGTGAGGAGGAAAAGTACAAAGGCCCTCGAGTTGAATACATCCCGTAGTTTGTCGCCCCTCTACGTGTCTGTGTAAGACTGGTCGGTCTCCGTTATGCCCCACACGGTGTCTTCGAGTAGGCAGTTCACGCAACGGAAACAAAACGCAAAGAATGCGGGACGTTAGCAGTTACACGGCCGTATAGCTCGATTTTGGCCTGACCGCTACTAAAGTGGTCTGCCATGCGGTGTGTTTGGGTTAAGGCGGTGGCGGTCTGTAAGGTCATCTTGTCTACCCACGAAAATATACGGGTCGTCCGGACTTGACGCTTGCAAAAGTATCCGGTGTACTCAAAACAATCTTTCATCATGCAGACTAAATCACGATGCCGTTGGAAACGCGCGGCCACACTTGCAATCCAACGAACGACGTTATTTAAAAGATGTGATAGCACGCACCCTCGCAGAACGTCCGGACGATGTTAGAACGTTTGTAAGGAATCAATGTAGACCACGGTACAGGACGAGCCGAGCAGTCTGAAACTTAAGGAACAACAATGGCAAGCTGACCACCTAACTCTATCATTAGCTATAGGAATTTGGGGTGAACAAAGTTGAAGACTGAAAACGCATGCGAAGAAAAGTAACAACAACTGATTTCCATAGCGGATTTCAAGGGAGTATTCAAACGCATGTGCTAAGTCGTCTAAATTCAGATCTAAACCCGGCTTGATAAAGTCCTTTTACCACAGAAACAATGAGGTTGCCAGTAAATACGCCGAAAGTGGTTAAGTGACATTGTGTGAGTGCACAGTGGTTCTCGGGCTTCGTCTTGTCCTCCCTACCTGGGTACAGAAGCAAGGACGGACAAATACTAGTTATCAGGCCAGGTTTGATCTTGCAATGGTCACAGATTGTCTAATGGGATCATGACGAGTGTCAAGCTCAGAGAAACCCGGCCCCCGAGGGGCGGTGGCGTGTTATTCACTAAATATGAAGTCTTTGGTGTATTCACGAGGCGCCAACATGTAGGGTTCCAATAAGGGGATCATAAGTCAAGTCGCGGACAGTCAGCGTAAGAGCGTCCCAGAGAGCTTGACGGTCTTAGTTTCTGTTCTTTCTAGGGTCAGAATTCTCATCTATAGGTTTTCACTAGACGATCTTGTTTCACAAATTTGGTCAAAGAAGTCATTGTTCTGGCCTTCAAATCTATTCGTTTGGATGGAGGCCTTTAAGCCTACTGAACGGAGCTAATAACCACGGCTCCGGCCAATAAATTCGCGAATCTTCCTAGACCGTCGGCTTCAGCGTCTTAGGTGGCACAGAAAGACCGGATTTTTCTTTTAAGAGCTTTGGCTATGCTCCGTCACGGCATTCTGGATGCGGTCTATAGGCATGCCTCTAGGGGTGCGTGGAAGAAAGTATAATCTGGTTCAAAGACGGCGCCAGCCTAGATACCGCAGACGCATCTGCTGCCCGGTATTGTGAAGCACGTGTATGTAGTTACTTCAGTTGATACAAAAAGTAATACTTTCTCATACGCGAGTTTTAGTGCTGCGGAAATTATGTTTACTAACCAAGCCCAGTTGCAAGACGCAGCGTACTACTACCTTTCCGTCCTGAGGACCAAGATTGGACAATTGCAAAGGATCACAAGATAAGGAACAATCCACAGGCGAGAGAGATGTGGTGATGTCGTGCACGGAAAAGTCGACTACGACTCAGGTCGCTAGAGCACAAGTCGGTCGTCGACCATCACCAAAGCTTTCATTTGCGAAATGGAGGGCATGTGTGAAGGTTCGAGCATCGTAATTATCGGAAATAATGAGTACATGCAAAGGAGTCTGTCTATCGAGTCTTTCAGCTGCGAGTGTTTCTACTGGTCAGTGGCAATGTATAACTGACTCTGTGATAGCTACACCAACTCTGCCAAAATCATAGGCACCGCTGGTAAACAGAAATACGGTTTAATTTGATTTCTTGGCAAGCCAGCTCCAAAACTCGGAATTCTAAAAAGTAATGGCAACGGAAAAGAAATAACGGGCATCTAGATCCTGCCGAACCATAAACTTTGAACCAACTCTCGTGAACCCTATTTTATACTCCGACGTCAGATTCCATCGGCATGCCTGCAGTATTTTAACTAGTTGCCGGTGGTGCTGTTTTCCGCAGACGCCGAAGCGGGGAACGTGGAAATTTACAGCAGTCTTAGCAGACACTGTCCACGCAGCAATCCCTTCGTGTGACTGATTGAAGGAAATTTATGCGCTCGCCCGAGCGAGTTTGGGAGGAGGAGATTGACAATCTCATGAAGGTCCCAGCTAGCGCCCTAACCTCGAGGGCATTTCACACGCTCGCACATAGGCATCGATTGCGCACGCAGCGCCAGATCGACGGCTAGCTCCCCTGCACACGTGAGCCAGTTTCGTCCGACATCTCGTCCTATGGAGTTTTCGTTTGCAGGCATGCATCGAGTGCGCTGCACGTTGAGGTCGAGTGCCATGCCAAACTACTTACGTCAGAAAGTGTCGGGTTCTCATCCGAAATCGATTATGCATGCCCACTCCAGCTAGAAGGTGATACCGTGAGACATTTAAGTGTCCTGGAGGAGGGCGTCAGACCTAACGCGCAAAATGCACGGGGTAAGCGCGGGGGTGGGGGGTGTGGAAGTAAGGACCATCTCGCGAAGGCTAAGCATCGTTAGCCAATTAAATTACTAGCCTTATACGAGGGCGTAAATCAGAGCGGCTGGCAGATGTCTGGTCGTGGGCGCCAAAATGCTATCAAGGGTAGCTTAATTAACAACTGCCTCCGAGCAAAATTTGAATCAGGGTGAGCTCACTACTAACCAAATGAGACCAACCAACATGGATAGATGGGCAGGAAGGGATTAATGCCAAAATCGAATAGCAAAGAGCCCCTAAGGTGATGAGTAGATGGGCTTTTGAGATAATGATAAAATATTCACGGGCCGTAGGAAGTATGATAAGTGCTTTGCATCATGGGGTTGGATTGCGGTCTTTTCCTTGAGGGGCAGGGGAATCTTTGAATTTAAACAGTAATGTAGCTGACGTCTCTTCTGCCCTTAGCATCTGAAGACCAGGAAAGTAAATTGGTGGTGCAAATGAGATGTGACAAAATAAACGTGGGACAATGGTTTCAATAAAGTCGCAACGCAGAGATATTTGATCATAGGGTACGTAGTTTTGAAGGCAGTTAAGTAGCTACCTCAGCTCCTAAGCGTCTCCAAACCGAGCCTAGTTCCACACCGATGACGCCAGCCCCAATGACGACGAGGTGTTTGGGGACCTGTTGAAGGGAGAGGGCCCCGGTGCTAGACACAATAGTTTTCTCATCAATTTCAATGCCAGGGAATGGAGTAACGTCACTTCCGGTGGCGATCAAGATGTTCTTGGTCGAAATTCTTTCTTCGTTTCCATCTGGTTTCTTCACAACGACCTGATTTGGACTCGCGATCGTACCAACACCTTGGATACTCTCGACCTATGAAAACAGCAAAGGTATGGAAGAAACATTCGACCTTTCCCTAAAGTGTAGTGCTGGTAACTAGGGCTACTCGAATTTTAAAGATCACCAAGGATGAATAATCAAGTCGCTGGGACAAGTGGCGATATGTGAGAGGAAAAACCAGAAGTGGTTCTTCAAAGGTAGGCCTTCTAAAGGAAGCTTAGATGAATACTATCTAAGTATTGTTTGTTATTGAAACCGGGCATACGACTTCTTGCAAGCATTACAAATTGGGTGAGTGCAGGCAAAAAGGCGGCTGAGCCACGTTTGATCTTAAAAAGCCAGTCATTGGTACAAGGACGAAACATTGTGGAAAGCCGAATAGTCTGTCAGTTAGAAATTAGTTTGCGAATCTATAAAGGCATGTCGTTATATCATGCAACTACTCCACAGTTTGTACTGTGCACCGGACTGGAGGTACGTGGGTCATTTCATAAGCGCTCGCAGAACATTTGTCCAATCTGACTGATGACAGAAAACAAAGTAGCAATGGTGAACAACCGCCCGCCTTGTATAGGGGAAACAAAAAGATACTAATGGGAAGTTAGTGCTTGAAAATACGGTGCAAAACGTGCAGATACAGAAGTTGGTTACCTTGTTGCTTTTGAACAAGTGGGCGATGCCTCCGGTTAGGGTCGATACGGCCTTTCGTTTGGCAGCCATGAGGCCTTCCAGATTAAGACTAACATTCCCTAGGTTAATGCCACGGTTCTCCATGTCTTTAGACTTGCACATGTGATAGTAATGAGAATTATTGAGGAGAGATTTGCTGGGTATACAGCCAACATTTAAGCAGGTGCCACCGAAAGTTGGATATTTTTCAATGCACACCGTCTAATATAAAGTTCGAAATAAACAGAGAAGATACTTTCATGCCAAGTTGTGCGGCCTTGATGGCGGCGACATAGCCACCAGGTCCGGATCCGATGACGACTAGATCCTTTTCGCCTATACAGGAATATTTTGTGTAAAAATTTACCTGTTGACAGATTTCGAACATTCGACAAAGAAAAAGTTCTTAGAACACACCGTTGATTAACCTGAACCAAGTAAATCATAAAAACCGACGTACGAGTTTCAACATGAAGGAGAGCGGACCAGCACCAAAAAGAAACCGAAAAGAGTTAGCCGCGACTCCGTAAGCGCAACTAACAAATTCATACAGTAAAACGAAGGATGTTCTAGGACCGATATCGTAGCTTTTCCTGAAATTACTGGGAACATAGTTGACTTTTTTTGCTCTATTAAGGTGTTTGTAAGAAGAAAATCAGACAAATTACAGCAGTATTTGGCGCGGATCTTTGGAGGAAGTAGGACGGTGCGAGGGATTCTTAAGAGGGAAGCACATGATGTCTATATAAAAATCGAAAATGTCCATTTTTTCAGAAGTCAATGTTTCAGGTTTCAACGCAAAACAGGTGCGGTGTATACTGTAGTAACTTATGACAATAAAATACTTGCATATAGGACAACTCTGCAAAAAACACATGTGAATGCAAAAAACGGACAGCTGAATAATGGTGCCGATCCTGATAATAAAGAAAATTAAAAAACGCCGTTTTATAATAAAAAGTAGGAAAGCAGTGGCGAAAAACCAAAGATTGGCTTAGAGAACAACAGTCATCTATCTTTACTGCGAGTAATATGAAGCATAGACGGTGGAACAAGCAGCAGGGAAACTGTATAAACGACGTATTTTAGTTGGCAGGAAAGTTGTCCCAAACAAATTCTGAGATCACGTACTCTGCACACAGACCTTAACTCACAGATGTGTAACTTGCAGTCGGAACGAACGAACAAACAAGCCTCTTCTCCATTCGCCCGCCCCGCCCTACAGACCGCTAGAGGGACTGCTCACATGGGCAACCTGCAATTTTCGCTCTCTTTGACAGAGTACGCGAATCAGCCGGCCGGAAAGGAGGATGGCACCAGTCGCCTGATAACTTGTGTTTTAAAAGGTGATATTGTCTTCATCTGCGAGACGCAATCCTCGGAAAAACCCAACTGGAGGGGTGGGTGGCGGCTACACTTTTTTCTGGAGTGACCACCCCAAGATGCGGAGACGTTGCGCTGGCATCCCCTTTGACATCCAAAGCGACATTTTATTGCCCCTGCCCTACCTGCGGCAAGACAATAACGACCATCCCATGACCTCACGTTCGTCCCTTTTGGAAACCCAATTCCCCATCATCATAGAGCGTACGCGACCTCTCCTACCATCTGTAAGGAATCACACATTTTGCCCATTCCTATGCACGGCAAATCTATATCATTTTATGAATTTCGGCCAATAAACACCCTCCCCGCATTTTCGAAGATCTTAGAGACATTGATCAAAGATAAGATGGTGTGTCACTTAACAGTGAATAACCTACCGAGTGCTGCTCAGCATGGATTCCTCAAAGCTCGATCTTGTGACACCTGTCAACTCTCTTTCTCTGACTATGTTCTCCAATCTAGAGAAAATGGTTTTGCACTTTACACAGTATATTTCGATTTCACCAAGGCTTTTGATCGTGTTGACCATGCTCTTCTTCGCTTAAAACTGTCCTCTTTCGGAATAGGTGGCAAACTTTTGAATTTGATATCCTCTTACCTGGGCACTCGCACACAACGCGTTAAGATTTCCAATACTATCTCCAACCCCGCATGTGTGAGGAGTGGAGTCATTCAGGTTAGTGTACTCGGCCCGCTTTTATTTTACTTTTTCGTTACTGATGTATCCGATTTATTTCAGAATGGTAAGTCTTTCATGTATGCCGATGATCTTAGAGTTGCATATCGATATAAGCCGGCAGATCGTGACATAGTGCTTTAGCTCCTGAAGAGCGACCTACTGGCTTTCGCCCAGTGGTGCCGCACATGGCGCCTTTCTCTTTCTTGGCATAAGTGCTCAGTCATGGTAGTTGGCGACGACCGCCAACCTCAAGTAAGCATTGATGGTCACGCCATAAATGTGCCTGGGGTTATTAAGGATCTAGGCGTATCATACCACAACAGTCTCAATCTCTCGGAGCAGTGTGCCTTGATAGTCTCCAAAGCTCGTAGAACGACCGGATATATCCGCCGAAACCTCAAAACTAGGGACATTAGAATGCGCCTTTTCAACATGTACGTTAGGCCTGGTCTGGAATACTGTTCGTATTTATTTAGCCTCATGCGTGCTACTGAGCGAAGAAAATAGAATCCGTTCAACACTTTTTTTACCAAGAGCATTTTAACCCCGGAACACCCACATTTTTCTTACCAAGAACGTTGCCGGCTTACGGGCCTTGATCCTTTATGGTTCCGTAGCTTACAAAATGGACCATTTTTGCTATTTAAACTCTTATATAATAACACATTTAACCCACTCACATCTTAATATATTTGATAATTATAATTTTTCATTAATGTCCCTTTGGGGTCCCATCAAAGCAAATAAAAATAAATTAACATGCGAATTTTAGACGAGGTAGGCAGAATCTTTACAAAAAGCAATTCCTTGTCTCTGAATTAGTAGTCGATTTAGAAAAATGACTAGTGAGGGGTGAAAAAAAACCCCATACGAAAGTTTAAACATGAATGGATTACATTCACATGAGAATAAACCCCTCAATAAAAAATAATGACGGAAAAATGCTGGCGGTATATAACGGACTGTAATCGGTCATCGTCAGGGCAGCAAGTAATCTCAGCCTTGAGGGGTACGTATGCGGGTCAGACAGGACTGGCCTGAATGTGGTATTGTACATGGGACTCAGAACTGACATCGACTGTGCCGGATTGATACGCCGCATGAGACTATACGCGTCCAAGAGGCCAGACGAGAGGAACAGAGATGCAATCGGCCACAGTACGTTTTGACCCGGCCGAGCAGTGGGGAAGGGAGGTACGACCAAACTACTAGTAGACGGTGAATACTGAGGTCTACGTCGTGAGCGTAGACAGACCGCATGAGGTCGAAACGCGAAAGATGACCACAAAAACCGCAAAAACTGTCGCTGTGGGGGGGGGAGTGATAGCAGTGGATTTAGAAACCAATTCAAAACAGGGGTTTCTAATGATATAATTAAGAGTTACCACTTAATCAACCACTAAATCCCAGGAGGACCCTTTTCGAAGTCAAGAATCTGAGTGTTCGGGAATGAGACCGTTAACAGTCCCTTTATGCTTTCCGGTGTAAGATGGTTGCGTAATTTCGACTTGAATATCAGTAACCTAGGCGATAATCTAATTTCAGACGGAAGATTATTCCAAAGGAAGGCATATTTGGAAGCAAAGAAGAGGGAGCGCTTAGATGTAGTACAAAGAGGCGGCGGAATCACCATGGAGGAGTTGCGCGTGGCATAAGACCGATCTCTCGGAGTGAGAGTGTCAATGAGCGGAAGACTGGAGCTAGAATTGATGCGAAAAAGGAAGCAAAGGCCAGCTTCGAGTCTTCTAACCCACAAAAACTTAATGTTCGCCAGCTGACATCTCTGAGTATAGGAAATACTGGACGAAGCTTGAGAGAACAGTTTCCGGGTGAAAACCCTCTGAACATTTTCGATTTTATTACAGTCGCAGGCGTTCATTAAACCGAAGATAGGACAGCAATATTCGAGGACTGGAAGAACAAACATTTGATAAAGTCTTAGCTTCATTTCCGGAAGGAAAAAATTATGCGATATGAATCCACATATCTGCGCGGCTTTGGCAGAGATTCTATCTGCATGAGGTGATAAAGCAAGCTTATTTGTATAACTTAGACCTAGGTCCTTTATGGTGAGGCATTCTGAGAGCGGGTTATTCTGAAAAATTATGGGACCAGACATGAAACTACACTTGGATGATGAAAATTCCATCTGCCATGTCGAACCCCATCTGCTTAAGCGTAGTAAATCGGCATTAATTTTTTCAACACAAAAATTTGCGGTGTCCTTAGAGTATGAGTAAACACACTTGAGTTCATCGGCATAAGTAAAAGTTTGCGAATTTCCGAGTTCAGTCGAAATTTCATTGATGTACAGAAGGAAGAGTAGCGGACCCAGGACCGTGCCTTGAGGACGGGAATGATAATTGACGTTTTCCATTTATCAGGAAAGAATCCATTTGAAATATAAACCGAGAATAAATGACTAAGCAATATGGGAAGGTCGGACGCTTGTTTAATAATCGAATTTTGAATTTCGTCCGTTCCTGAGCAGTGTGAGTAGTTTAAACGACTTATGTGTTTCTTAATGAGATCTGAGGTGACATCCATTGTACTAAGTGTTCTATCTGAAAGTGACCGAAATAAAGGGACAGGATTCAGTATTAAGGTGTTTTGCAAAGGAGGCACTAAACAACTCCGCCTTGTCAGTGTCATCGGTGAGGAAGACTTTGTTATCATTTAGCAGGGGTGGAAGTTCGTGACCACGCTTAGAGGAGGACCGATGACGGAAGATGTTAGCGACGGATTTGCCAGGGTTCGAACCACTGAGAGCAATTTATTCTCTTTGCCTGTCGCGCGCTTGGTGCATCCTTGAGGCCATCTCAAAAATCTCTGTGATTCTAAGATGAACTGATAAGGAACTAGTGGATAGGTCACGCAGCTGTCGCCTCAACTTTTTAGTCTGTTCTGAAGAAAATGAGGAACGAGGGAATCTGAAGAATTAGGCTTGAGATATATACGCGCACACACACTAGCATGCCCTTGGAAACATTGGACATAACGTCACGAAGAATGGTTACATCACCGCAGGAGAGGAAGCCACGCCAATCCAAAGATCTAATAAAGTTATTTATTAAGTCGTTATCGACGCCGTCGTAGTTCGTGTAAGTCCGAACGCCGCTGGTCTTTTTTGAAAAGGCAAGCGGTAAGCAACAATGAAGTAATACGTGGTCACTGTCAAAGAGGTCCTTTTTGAAAGCAACAATAAGGGGAGCAATGTCATTGGTAAAGATTCGATCTAAAATGTGATTATCTCTTGTTGGTGAGCGCACCAATTGGGACCAGTTAGAAAAATTGACAATATCATGGAAGGACTGGAATCTAGGCGGACAGATATTGGAAACCGAAACTCTTTCAGGAAGGTTAAAATCCCACTGCTTATTTTAATACCGAAAACAGCTTCCGAAATT